GAAAAGAAAAAAAAGGAATGTGTAAGTGTTAATTGTTAGCTTTGTGTCATTTTTTGCGCCACTTTTTATGCCACTTCTTACGCCACCTTTTGCGCCTTTTAGTTGCCCTATTTTGGCACTCTTTTAGCACTGCGTTTGGCGCAATTTCCAGCACATTTTCAGCACTGCCCCTTGCCTACGGATGCACGTCTGTACGCATGCATCACGTGAACCTCGCGCCAAATACATATCAACATACGCGTTAAAATACACGTAAAAATACACATAAACATGCGACATTTGCATTTTGCCCCTACCGTGGGATGTGTACATACGTGTAATTCCTTCCACCATTGTGCTGATAACTAGTTAGCAAATTGACCTTGTGTGTTTTTTTTTTCTTTTTGTGAATTCCTTCTGGCAATTTTTCTCACCCACTGTACTACCCCAGACGTGCAGTAATTTCTGTTGTGAATGTTCCCCTTCGTTTCTACTCCGAATGGCACTTTCCACCGTTGTTCCTTCACTCCCATGCATACATGTGGACATACGCAAAAGCACACGTACTTCATACACGCAATGAATGGGGAATGAGCTAGGAGGGGGGAAGGCGACAAGCGACAGGAATGTGAACTTCTGTGGCATCATTTCAGCATCAAAATGTGCACCCACGGGGTTCGAACGTACAGGATGGGGGAAGGAAGGAAAAAAGTACTCCCATGTATGTTCTCCCTACTGTCTATTATCACCCCTTCGTTTAGGGTTTCCCCATCTACAATCCCTTTATAGGAATGTCCCATGTTGGTGTGTGACAGTTGTTTCTACATTTGTCATCGATACAGGCAGTTGGAGTGCACCGCGAAGGCTGTTCTAAGTAACGTGATTGGGTGACAAAAAACATGTAGAAATGAACAGGCGGTCTAAATAAATGACGAAATTGTGTACGTGTATATTTGCACGCGCCGGCGGGAGGGAGCCCCTTGGACTCCTTAACTTTGCGCCTTTTAACGGAACACCTTTGGAAGGGGGGGTAAGCCATTTGGATCGGCCAATTTCGCTGTGACCATTTGGCTTCCCCCATTTGGCTTCCCCCATTTGCCATCCCCCATCTGTGCCTCCTTCGAAACTTCATGCAACGGCAAATCAGCTTCTCCTGATATGCGTGTATGTACTAAGGTGGGTACATTTCCTACGCGTACTCACAGGGGGGTGGCACATGTGCACGGCACTTTCCTCGCCTACGTTAAAAAAGAACAGGCGTTGTTAGCAAAAGGTGGGTCGTCATTGATTATTCGTCACTTGCCGAATGCCATTTGGAACTCCTGCACTTGCTCGCGTATACATTCAGCGGCTACCCATTTATTATTTTTTTTTTCCATCGTTTTTCCATTTCTTTTAACCATTTGGGGGGCAACGAAAGGGAATTGATCAGCCCCACCAAAAAAAAGAAAAAAAACATTACCACTCCAAATGGCTAATCACGTTTTTTCACACTGCTAAAAAAAAAGCACGATCAAATGTGTAGCCGCTTCATTCGCCTCTTTCACAGAATAACAAAAAAAAAAAAAAAAAAAAAAAAAAGGGAGAACCATCTGGGCGTCATTGCGATTACCATTTCGACATCCCACCCCCCTTTTTATTTCTATACCATTTTTATAAGAAGGTCTAATCCCCCAAAACAACGTAAGGCAGGCAGTAAGACATATTGTTTCTAAGGGCGCTCGTCTGGAATCACACAACAATTGTGTCAACCTGCTTTGTAACCGATGTGACGGTTTGAAGAGGACTTTCACTGAAATGGGGCAGCTAATTTGCAGGAATAATCTTTTCTCTTTTGAGGAGAAGGTGCAAACTGTTAACCTATATGTTTCGGTTACTCGCACGTATAGGAAGTGATGTAAGCAGATATATGATTTTGCAGCGAAGAATGAAGCATGTACGACAAGATGGTCGTGGTGGTAGTCGTGGTAGGGCGCCTTCTTCCCGGTCGCGCCAGTTATAGACCAGTTTGAACACCCCCCCAATCACGGATGCCCCTATTAGAATACAATTCGAACCCACATGAACGAATCTCTGTAATAAATTTGAACATACAAAATTTATTTTTTTTTTTAACATGCTAAATGTCTAGTGCTAAAAAAAAAAAAAAAAAAAAAAATAGAGCCACTATAGAATGGTACATTGGGATGCAGACAGCTGCCTCGAAAGATGAGCAGATCGTTGAATTGGCGGTCCAGATATATACTTCAATAACAGGGGAGACATCTCTGCAATGTTTTTTAAATTATATAGAAACCCAAAATAAAAAAAAAAAAAGAAAAAAACCAAAAAAAGGTTATTTATATTCCGAATGACATTCCGTCCTTTGAGTTATTATTTCAACAAGGGTGAAGGTGGCACCTCCATATAAGACCACGGCAAAACGAAAATAAAAAAAACTTTAACGCCATGGAGGAAAAAGAATCGGGCGGACGCAAAGCGGGGCAAGGGTAAATGATTTTAACAGAGAGTAGCCTCAATGGGCATATACAAAGTTGGCCAGAATATGCGGCTAGCTGAGTTACAACTATAAAAATGTTGCCAAACTGAAGGAGGAGCAAAATCCTCAAACTATAAATAGCCAAAGGCCAAGGAATTAACTTCTTTAAAAAAATGACGAACTGGAGACATAAAACGAAGTAAAAAAAATAACAAAAAATAATTAAGATGATTAAAAATAATTAAAACAAATTCGTAAACAGAAAACCTTCATAAAATTGATCCAAACGAGCTACTCAATTTTATACTTAGATTTGTAAAGTATTTTTTTTTTCGCCAAGTCGCCTCCAACCGCAGTCATTATTTTTAACACCCCACAAAAAGGTATTTTCGCATGTATAGTATACTTCATTATAATAAAAAAACATTATTTCTTTTTTTTTTTTTGAACTTCCCTGCGTATATAGATATATATTTGTTACCTGCATCACTTTTCTGTGTGCCCTTCCAGGTTAACAGAAAAAGAAAAAAACACAAAATTGTAAAGTCACCAAATTGCAAAAATAACGAAACAGAAACACAGCCACTGAATAACGGCGTGTATTTACTGGACCCCGATTTTTTTCAAGCCTTTTTTTTTTCCCAATTTAAATAGCAAAACAAAATGCCTAAGAGAAATACAGCCGCGCATTTCATATTCCCCCTTTTGACGATAGTCCTTCTCATATCCGGTGCCCTCATGCAAGTAAACCCTCACGCATATCTCGAGCGTATAAACCGTGTTGCCTACATGTACCCGCTTATACGTGTGTAGGCACGCTTACATACATTACGTACGCACATCCATACATGCATATGTGGGTGTTCTTTCCGCACTCGGTGGAAAAGTGCATCCGTGCACCACACATGTGTTGTTTTAGTGGCCTGGGCACCGTGGTTGTAATGTCTGGCGCATGTGTACTCAAGCGTAGTACATTTTTCACGGTTTCTCTGGTGCTTATTTGCTCCTTCGTTTGTGTCTTGACTTGCCTTTTGATTTGCCCTTTTTTTTCCTTTTATTGCGAAACAGGGTGCTGACGACAAAGACGACAAGCTGAAGCCAAGAAACTGGAAAAGAAACATCGACAACCTTGTATGTTCTTTCTTAAGGAAAAATATGCATGGTGAGTCCATCGCTCGCTTGCTCTGCAGCGAGGGAACCCGATGCTCTTATGTCACCGTCTCCTAGCCACGCTCTTCTTAACCCCCAGCTTCGTTCCGAAATGGCATGTTTTGCCCCCCTTTTTCAACACGCCAAAAAATGACCATTTGTGACTGCCCATCCTCTACAGGCGCAAAACAAATGCAATACGCAAATCTGTCGAAGGAATTTAAGAATGAAGAGGAACAAACCGAGGGAAATGAAAATGCCATAAAGACCTACACCCGGGAAGAGGTATGTACATTTATAGCATAGATGGAAACGCATGATTAGCTTCTTCTTTTTTTTTTTTTTTTGGACTAGTTGGAAACGAAAAATGGAGGAGAAAAAAAATTATGTAAACATCTATGCGCATGTCTCATTGGTGCTGTGGCACCGCTTTGAGAAGCGCTTCCTTTTACTCATGCTGCTGTCGCTTTCCTTTTTTTTTAACTAAACCTAAAATTGTTCAGGTGGCGAAACACAACACGAGTAAGGATGCTTGGGTCATTTTCAAAAATAAGATCTACGAAATTACATACTACTTATTGTACCACCCAGGAGGTAAGATCAGCAGAGTGGAGAAAAAAGACTAAACGGGCACAAATCAGTGAGGAGGGCAGCTTAGCTCGAGCCGTTCTGTTTGTTCTTATGAACACCACCAAGGAGTTACACCATTGACCAGTTACACCATCGATAAATTACACCCTCTTGCGGTTTTACTTATATTGGTTTGATCACCGCCTGGCTGCTGAAACCCTACGATCATTCCCTTTTCTCATCGCCGTTTTGTTATTGCCTCTCCCACCCCTTTATCCTCACAGGAAAAGACATCCTTCTAGAACAGGCGGGAAAGGACATCACCGACTACGTGTCTCACTACCACCCCTGGATCAACGTTCAAAAGATCCTAAAAAATAACTACAAAGGTATGACAAAATGAAAAAATAAGAGGTTGCGCTACGGAGCGTTGGGAGGCAGATTCATCAGGGTGTGGAATCTCCACCAAATGGCACACTGATGGTGTTTTTATATATTCCCTTCTTGTATTCTTTGGGGGGAGTGGCAAGCCAAACATGGCCATTCAAATTAGCTGGATTTGCAGTGACGCAGAAGTGATTCACTTGAAGTGTTAATGTGAAAAAAAAAAAAAAAAG